TTACATTTCCTGTTATTTAATGTTTATTGCATTTTGTGTGTGCCATGTATGTTACCCTGATGGTGTTTTGTGTTTGACCTTGTGCATGTCAATACCATTGTATTTATTTATTTTTGACAGTAAATTTGAATGGCAACCACAGCGTTTATACAGAATATTATAATTATTACAGCCTAGCCCTTACCCTATCTGTAAAATTTTGCATTTTTAGAATAAAAAAAACATTATTAACATTAATGTTATTGGGATTTATCTCACTTTAAGTCTTGTTCACACTGGGACGAATATCGCGCGCGATTATCGCCGACGTTTAACGCCTCGTGACTAAACAAAGGGAGTGAGTGTGCACACCGACGCGCCATTTTTTAAAAACGCCTCGGGCTCGTTTTTTGTTTGTTTGACGTGCCGCGTTAAAAAACTAGCCGACCAATGAGATTGGCTCTTTTGTTCACGTGCCTGGAGCTGCTGAAGTTACAGTAAAACAGGACTTGGTGGCGCTCAAGCACAAAACGGTCTTGCCGAGCACACACTGATACCTAACGACGAAGAGGAAGTAAGTAGACCAAGAAGATGCATCGAGGCAAGATGAATGTAGAGCTGCTGGTCTCATGAATTGCAGATGAAATAGGATTCGATGTGTACCGGGGTATTTCTGTCATCTAATGTCAGGGAGTGAATTTGCACGTTCACTCGGCTCATCGCCAGCGAAAATCGCTTGGGTATGAACCATAGACTGCATAAAAAAATGAAAAAAACAATGATATGAGGTCACCCGTAGGTTCCAGAAGAGGATTTTGAAGCTCAAAGTGGGCGGAGCGGGCCGTCACTCCCGGATAATCGAAGATGGGCAAAGAGGCGGGAGCAGGTTGCTGAAGCCACGCCCACCGAGCTCGCCGGTGGTGACAGCAGCGGCAATCCACCTGCCACTCAAGTGGCCACGCCCTTAATTATGCAGAACTTTAAGGCTTAATATAATTTAAACGGATGAGTTATAAAAACAATTCACTCCCCTCACAGTTGTCATGAAGGGCAAAATTAGCTATATAGACCAAAATAATTTTTTTAACCAGGCTGTAAACAGTTTTTTTTTGCTGTAAAGTTGGGCATTTTAACATGGGGAGTCTATGGGATTGACTCACTTTTGCAGCCAGCCTCTAGCGGTCAGTTGATGAATTACAGTTTAAGTCACTTCCGTGTTGGCTTCAGGAGAGAGAGCCGGAGGTTGCCGCTTGGTATGAACACAAAAGACGCGTCCAAAAACGTCGGTGATAAGCGCGCGATAATCGTCCCGGTGTGTACGAGGCTTATTTGCCCCCAAACAAATGAAGTACACACACACAAACAAGATAATGAACTGTCTAAAATGTCAAATCTGCGTTCCACACATACCTTTCAAACCGGACTGGGGCTGAACACCTCGGGTTTTATTTTAACCTCCAGAGACATGGAGACACATATACCAGCGTCTGCATTACTGTCACACCTCTGCGTCATCGCCTTTCATCATCCCAGAGCTCACAGACCTGACTCATGGATCATGAAAAAATGCGTTTGTAGATCTCGCATTGAGGCTGGCCACACACCTGCTGACGCCAGTTTGAAAGCCTACCACTGCTTTTTCTTTTAAATGGACATTAGGAGGTGAGCCGGTGTCAAGGCGTTTCTATTGATTGCTCTCTTGTGTCACTGTAGGACCTGGTCATTTCTGACGCAATTGCAATGACGGCCACAACCCCCCATGGTCAGTCTGACCGGCCTAGACAAACAGAGACGGGGTAGGAGGGAGAGCTAAAAACAGTGTGATGTTTACCAACTGATAGCGAGAGCCCACATTCCTCTGGTTAAGATAACAGCAGAGCTCTGGGAAGCAGACTGGGATCAGAGCCAAGCAGACGGGGACAGGAAATACAGTGCATTTAGAAAATAATCAAATGTAATACTTTTGACATCTTGCTGTGTTGCAGCCTTAAAATGCTGAGATGATGAGTTGAATCAGGTGTGTTAGATGAGGAAGACATCCAAAATGTGCAGTGATAGAGGGTCACCAGGACAGATCCGAGAGCATGCTTTCTTTTTTTCCACATCAATCTACACTGCATATTCCATAATTACGAAGCAAAACCAGATTTGTGATCACTTTAAATTGATTTAAAAGAAAGAACTGAAATATGAAACTGCATAAATATTGCAGTTGACATACCTTTAGCAGTGAGGCAACCTCACGTTTTTGGGGGGTATGAGGGCAATTTTCTTCCATTCTGCTCTGCAGATCCTCTCAGGCTCTGTCAGCCATTTTCAGGTCTCTTCAGAGATGTTTAATTGGGTTCAAATCCAGGCTGGCTCACTCAAGGACATTCACAGAGTTGTCCCTAAGCCACTCTTGTCTTGTCATTGGCTATATGATTAGGGCCATTGTCCTTTTAGAAGGCAAACCTTCAGCCCAGTCTGAGGTCCTGAGCTTTCTGAACCAGAACATTCGCTGGCATTGAAAACCACCTCTACAGCATGATGCTTCCCCCACTAAATATGAAATTTTGAAGTAGAAAAAATGAAACAGTATTTTCTTGTAAAATATATTCCAACAATCTTTGTTTTATTGACAACTTCAAAGTTGTTTTGGATGTTCGGTAAATTCTGTCTCAAAATATACATAATAAAATATATACTGTTCCCTGTTTTTTCTTTTTTTTTTGTATATTTACACTCTTAAAAATAAAGGTGCTTCACGATGCCATAGAAGAACCTTTTTGTTTAAATGGTTCCATAAAGAACCTTTAACATCTGAAGAACCTTTCTGTTTCACAAAGGGTTCTTTGTGGCGAAAAAAAAAGGTTCTTCAGATTATTAAAAGGTAAGAAAGAAATGGTTCTTTAAAGAACCTTTGACTGAATGGTTCATTGTGGAACCAAAAATGGTTCTTCTATGGCAGGGTTCCTCAAATCCTACCCTGGAGGTCCAATGCGCTGCAGAGTTTAGCTCCAACCCTGATCAAACTCAGCTAACTGTGATTTTCTAATGATCCTGAAGACATTGATTAGCATGCTCAGGTGTGTTTGATTAGGGTTAGAGCTAAACTCTGCAGGAAAGTGGATCTCTTGGGCCAGATTTGAGGATCCCTGTTCTATGGCATCGCTTGAAGAACCTTTTGAAGCACCTTTATTTTTAAGAGTGTAGGTTCGGTGTAAAAATTACAGAGTGAATGCTAAGCGAACCAGTATCTTAAATGTATAATTTTCTTTTTTGGTCCAGACTAAAAGAATCAAGAGAGCCAAACTACAGGTGTGAATATATCCTTCGGTCCTTCTTCCCTGATTGCTCAGTTCGGCTGGGCAACCAACTCAAGAAGATTCCAGGGATGTGCTTCCCAAAAGCATCGTAAGCTTAAGTACATCGTAGACACATTGAAACCAATGGAGCTACGATCAGCTAAAGCCCCAGTTCACACTGTGCAATTTTGGCTACAATCCTAAAAGATTCCTATAATCCTAGGCTAAAATCTATAGTCTTTGATCACTGGTTTGACATGTTCACCCATGAAAAATCAAATTTTACCTCCAACGAAATTCTGGCAGTGAAATTCCTGCAATGCGACATCAAACTGTCCGTTTTTCAAGACAAGCCATGATCAGAATTAAATGTTAGAGATTTCTTCTATCTGCCATATGATACTTTGCCTTTGCTATGATAAACACCGGTTGTGGGTGTGTAGTGCTGCTTTACATTATTCTTAAATATGCCGGTATTGCTGTCATTCATATAGTTATTTAAATCAGTGGTTCTCAAACCTGTCCTGGAGGACCCCTAGCCCTGCACATTTTGTATGTCTCCCTTATCAGACACACCTGATTCAACTCATCAGCTCGTTAGTAGAGACTGCAAGACATAAATTGGGTGTGTCTGATAAGGGAGACATACAAAATGTGCAGGGCTAGGGTTTCCTCCAGGACAGGTTTGAGAACCCTTGCTTTAAATGATAGCCAACATTTCAGTCTTGCGTGTAATGCAGCTCGCAGTCACTGACCGTGTGTGGGTTGATAATGTAAAACTCCGGACAAGTTTTTTTGCATGCACTCGTTTTAACGCGTCTTGACTGTCGTACAGTCTGACATTAATGACAACTGAGATCCCACAGTGTGACATGATCATCATGTTCGTACAGTCTGACAACAAGCAACAATCGTAAAGGACTATTAAAATCACACACCGTGTGCCCGACTTTAGGCTTACGATGCTTTTGGGAAACGCAGCCCTGGTTGTTTCAAACTTCTTCCATTTAAGAATTACGGAGGCCGCTGTTCTCTTGGGAACCTTCAATGCATCAGACATTATTTTGTAGTCTTCCCCAGCTCTTGACACAATCCTGTTTCTGAGCTCTCCACACAGATCCTTTGATGTGATGGCTTTGTTTTTGCTCTGATTTGCATTTTAGCTTGTAAGAACTTGTATGGACTGGTGTGTGCCTTTCCAAATCATGGCCAATCAATTTGCAGAAAATGGACTCCAATCAAATTGTACAAATACACTAAAGACGATCCAGAGAAATGCACCTGCGCTATATTTTAAGTGTCACAGCAAAGGGTAATAATGTTAGTTTTAACCTTTTAATAAAATTTGCCAAGTTATCATAAATCTGGCTTTTAAAAAAAAAAAAAAAAAGAATGCAAATACTGTAAATTGAACTGATCAGAACTGCACTTTCGTCAATTACATTACATAAGTCACGTTAGTTTCATCATTCTGCCAGCTTAACCAACAAATATGCTCACAAATGCTCTCACATGACAGCCGTGGTTAACAAGACAGGAAGTCAGAATTTTCATGTGTGAGAAGATTATGAAATTATATATAAAAAAACATAAGAGTGTAAAACAGCTTTACTGCTGAAGGAAACAATAGGAGGAGAACACAATGCAAATAGTACATTTAAAGGTGAGAGAAGAGAAGTCTGACCAGCGATTTGCAGCAATGGTGAACAATAAGACATTGATGGTGGTCGTCCTCCTAAGCATCTTTGTGGCAGGAAGTCAAACAAAAGGTTAGTTTATATACCCTTAATTGGTAACACTTTATAATAACTTTGATTAATAAAACCTTGCAAATCCTTAATCCTTACAAATGTCATTAAACTTTTAATTCATATGATCATGCACATTTAAAAAAATCTACAAATGACTAACTGAAATGATACAATGATTAAAACGCTTATTTGTTAATGCACTTTTGAATGCTAACAAATGTCATTAAACTTCAGTTCACATTAATATGCATTTACAAATGTTGTGAGAAAATAGCTTTGTAATTTTAAGCACTTTACAAACTATTCATGTTAACATCTTTTTTATTAACTCATAATCGTAAAGGTCATATGGTCTTTATTTGTTGTGTAGACTTCTACTATTTTCACATCACATCGAAATGCTTGCTAAAGACACAAAACATTGTAATTCGGGTTCAAAACAGGTTTTTATTGCCTCAACACTTATATTGGTATACTGTATAACATTAAACAGGACATTTCTTTGAATCACACACCAACAGGACAAAAGAAATCAGTTTTTCTAGAAAATACTTGTTCATAATCAAAACAATGTAATATAAACATTGATTGAACCGTGTTCCCTTATAATCAAACTGACCCCTTTATACTTCTAACCCTTTAATCAACCCTTAAACCTACCCATCCATAACCTTACTCATACCACACCTCAATAGCTGCAAAAGTGTTGCGCATTAACAAAAGCTTTTAATCACTGTATAACAGCTGTTGTAGATTTTCAAGAAATGCATGATCATATGAATTGAACGTTTGATGACATTCGCAATTTACATTAAATAACGATCCGCTAATCATTTGGTATTGTTTAATAAGTTTATTAGCAAACATTAACAAGCACATTATCTCATGTTTCTAGCTATTTGAATATACATCAACTAAAGTGAAGATAAGCATTATATAATGTTTGTTAATGGTATATTATCTAAAGATATTATAAAGTGTTCCCCATTCATTTTAATATTATACTCTTTTGAGCTGTACTTTATTGTTTTGGCTTTCTGGTCTAGCATCTTTTGTTTACAGATGCCACTGGAATTTTTTTTTTACTCCAATGGAATGACATTCTTACATTTTATGTGTGGTTTAAGTGTTCAAATATAGGGTCCACTGAATTTTCTTCATTTTGTTTAAATCTGCTAAATCTTCACTATCTCACACTGGAAATCTCACTCGAGTGAATGATTGTGTTTTATTGTGCTGAGGCTCACATTAACCTGTTACTAACACGCTGTGCCACTAACTGTCCTAGGAGATCAAGCCACTGCATCTCATCAGAATAAAGATTCTGCGATTAAACAACTGACAGGTCAGACAACATACACTTTTATTTATGTAAATACATTGCACTTTTTCATGAATAGGGTAAAAAAAAAACTTGTATAAAATATTTTTTCAAATAATGGTAAGTGCTTAACCTTGAGAAAACATACATCGTAAAACATTTTATAGAATTTGATAGAATCACCATTTTGCAAACAAGGATTTTGTGCTTCTAATGCTTTAAAATATAACATTACCATTATATAATGAACTCTATTGATGGGAAGTGCCAACTATTTTATATCTGTTGTCAGAATAGAGCTGCTGTACATTCTTAAAAATAAAGGGGCTTCACGATGCCATAGATTAAAGAACCTTTTTGTGTAAATGGTTCCATAAAGAACCTTTAACATCTGAAGAACCTTTCTGTTTCACAAAAGGTTCTTTGTGGTGAAAGAAGGTTCTTCAGATTATAAAAAGGTAAGAAAGAGATGGTTCTTTAAAGAACCTTTGACTGAATGGTTCTTTGTGGAACCAAAAATGGTTCTTCTATGACATCACTGTGAAGAACCTTTTAAGCACCTTTATTTTTAAGAGTGTATGTGTTGTAACTACTTTAAGTCTAAAGGAAAAGACACAATGGATAACACTTGTCTGGTATGGCAGGGAGAGATAAGTTTAGTGTATAGACAAAGAAAAAACAAAGACAAAATGTGTTAAAATACCCAAATGTTATATTTACATTTGAATTATATTCACCTAAAAGTGTCCAAATTTTACTCAATACAATATTTAATCTCATTGTATACATTTATTGATTGATTTATTCCTGCAGATTTCAAAGAGCAGACCTTTATTTCAGGCAGTGATGTGATTTTACAGTGTGGCAATGCCACTGATATCAACTGGAATGAATTAATTTACATCGTCTGGAACATCAGCCTGCAAGACAGAAAATGTTGGCTTGGTTTGTCACCCAAGCTGGACGACAAATGTAAAGATGGAAAGAGGCTGTACAACACCTCAGATGGAGTTTACTTAGTCATTCCCAAGATTTCAATAGAAGATGAAGGATTTTATTCTTGTGATGTATCGTATAAAGGAGGAAGCTATTTGGCAAACGTATCTGTAAGTGGTGAGTACAAACACAATTTATTGTAAAACTGTTGCAAAAACTGTGAAAATGTTTATATTTACAACAACAACAGGTTTACATCATATATCTCTCAAACTTCCACTTTAGTCATGAACCAGTGATGAATCCAGTTCATTGTACAAAAAATATTTAAAGCTAAAAAATATATATATAAATTAAAGTTTTTTGTTTTTAGTTACCCAATTTTCCACCCAGCTGTACAGTGAAAACAATCAAAGGATTGCTGTCTGTCATGCCACATTTAAAAAAAACAGCACCCACTCTTCATTGGGAACCTGCCTTGAACTTTTCCTCCAATATCAGCTCTGTTGAGAAGCTTGGCAGGTTTTTTATGATGGAGATTCGAGTATATCTGCCTGCTGATGTCAAGTTAAGTCAAGTCACCTTTATTTATATAGCGCTTTTAACAATACAGATTGTGTCAAAGCAACTGAACAGCATTAATTAGGAAAATAGTGTATCAATAATGCAAAATGACAATTGTAAACACTCATTTTTCAGTTAAAGGCAGTTCATCATTGAATTCAGTGATGTCAACATCCAGCTCAGTTCAGTTGAAATAGTATCTTTGCAATCATTTGCAATCAAGTCAACGATATCGCTGGAAATGAAGTGTCCCCAACTAAGCAAGCCAGAGGCAACATCGGCAAGGAACCAAAACTCCATCTGTGACAGAATGGAGAAAAAAACTTGGGAGAAACCAGGCTCAGTCGGGGGGCCAGTTCTCCTCTGACCAGACGAAACCAGCAGTTCAATTCCAGGCTGCAGCAATGTCACATTGTGCAGAGGACTCATCTGGTTCCTGAACATGATGCAATCTAAATTTAAACTGACAGAGTGTGTCTGCCTCACGAACAATGTTAGGTAGATTATTCCAGAGTTTCAGTGCTAAATAGGAAAAGGGTCTGCCGACCGCAGTTGATTTTGATATTCTAGGTATTATCAAATGGCCAAAGTTTTGAGAACGCAGTGGACATGGAGGACTATAATGCAGTAAGAGCTCGTTCAAATACTGAGGTGCTAATCCATTCAGGGCTTTATAAGTAATTAGCAAGATTTTAAAATCTATACAATGTTTAATAGGGAGCCAGTGCAGTGTTGACAGAACCGGGCTAATATGGTCATACTTCCTGGTTCTAGTAAGAACTAGCTGCTGCATTTTGGACCAGATGGAGTTTGTTTATTAAGCGTGCAGAACAACCACTCAATAAAGCGTTACAATAATCTAACCTTGAGGTCATAAACGCATGGATTAACATTTCTGCATTTGACATTGAGAGCATAGGTCGTAATTTAGATATATTTTTGAGATGGAAAAATGCAGTTTTACAAATGCTAGAAACGTGGCTTTCAAAGGAAAGATTGCTATCAAATAGCACACATAGGTTCCTAATTGATGACGAAGAATTGACAGAGCAGCCATCAACAATAGTGAGCTCACCTGTGTGGCCACATACACCTCCGAGGCTGGCTCTGTTCAGCACAAGAGCACACTTCATCTTACAGGTGAGCACAACGTATTTGAAAAGGAACTGAGAATTGATTTCAATAGTGGATCAGTAGTAAATTATGTTCCTCTCAAGCTCAGTCAGGTTAGATGGGGACCATTGGTCAAAAGACATTTCTCCAGAGATGTTTGACAAGGTTCAAGTTCAGGGTCTGAATACTCGAATACTAAATTTGCAAATCTGGTTTTTGCTTTGCAATTATGGGGTGTGGAGTGTAGACTGGTGTGGAAATTTTTTTATAATTTAAAGAATTAACATAAGGCTGCAACATAAAATGTGAATAGTATTCAAGGGTCTGAATACTTTCCTAAATGAATGGTAGCACTTTCTAGGGTTACTAACTTAAAGCTTATAAGGTCTCTAGTTTAGCCACCAATGATGCTGGAAAAGGCACCAGCAGTGGGAGGAAACCACTGCATGGAGGAAGTGCATGACAGGAGAGGGAATGTCCTTCTTATGGAGCAGTGGCACTGGGCAGCTTTAAGACCATAAAAAGTCAAAATCATCATGATTAACTCACCATATGTGGAGACAATGCTCTGTGTAACGACTCCTCATTTTTTCTCTGGTGTCATTAAATACGCAGGCTATCACACGCGTATAGTAAAAGGCTACACACACACAACAGCATGTCGAGATACTCTTCATCTAAAGTAGCTATGACTGTAGCTTCTGTGTATCACTGCCAGATGTTTCAGTAATGGTACGTACAAGTAGTCACTGTTTCGCAGACATACCTAATGCATTTCCTTTTTGGTAGTTCTTTAAGAAACAACATGTCTGCTTATTTTGTATGTGTTGCATGCCTGCAATGGTAATAATCAGACTTTCAAGAGTAACATAAGTATGTACAGCTATTCACCCACTCATTGTTTAACAGAAAACTAATTAATCGTTAAAGGGATAGTTCACACAAAAATGCAAATAATGTCATTAATTACTCTCCCTCACGTCATTCCAAACCTGTAAGACCTTCGTTCATCTTCAGAACACAAATTAAGCTATTTTTGATGAAATCCGAGAGCTCTCGAACCCACCGTATAGACAGCAAGGGTACCACCACGTTCAAGGCACAAGAAGGTAGTACGGACATCTTTAAAAAAGACCATAAAAAGTCAAAATCATCATGATTAACTCACCATATGTGGAGACAATGCTCTGTGTAACGACTCCTCATTTTTTCTCTGGTGTCATTAAATACGCAGGCTATCACATGCGTATAGTAAAAGGCTACACACACACAACAGCATGTCGAGATACTCTTCATCTAAAGTAGCTATGACTGTAGCTTCTGTGTATCACTGCCAGATGTTTCAGTAATGGTACGTACAAGTAGTCACTGTTTCGCAGACATACCTAATGCATTTCCTTTTTGGTAGTTCTTTAAGAAACAACATGTCTGCTTATCTTGTATGTGTTGCATGCCTGCAATGGTAATAATCAGACTTTCAAGAGTAACATAAGTATGTACAGCTATTCACCCACTCATTGTTTAACAGAAAACTAATTAATCGTTAAAGGGATAGTTCACACAAAAATGCAAATAATGTCATTAATTACTCACCCTCACGTCATTCCAAACCTGTAAGACCTTCGTTCATCTTCAGAACACCAATTAAGCTATTTTTGATGAAATCCGAGAGCTCTCGAACCCACCGTATAGACAGCAAGGGTACCACCACGTTCAAGGCACAAGAAGGTAGTACGGACATCTTTAAAACAGTCCATGTGATTCAACCGTAATTTGATGAAGCTACAAGAATACTTTTTGTTGTGCAAAAAATTACGACTTTATTCAACAATTCTTCTCCTCTGCATTACCCTAGCACCATTTTGGAGAGTATCACGACGCATGCGTCGTGATACTCTCCAAAATGGTGCTAGGGTAATGCAGAGGAGAAGAATTGTTGAATAAAGTCGTAATTTTTTGCACAACAAAAAGTATTCTTGTAGCTTCATCAAATTACGGTTGAATCACAAGAGGAGAAGAATTGTTGAATAGAGCTGGCGCCCATAGCCTCATGGGCAGAGCGTTGACATATAGCACTGTTGCGCTTCAGGCATCCCGTGTTTGTGTCCCGGCTCGCGGACCTTTTCCGATCCCGCCCCCACCTCTCTCTCCAACTTTGCTTCCTGTCTCACTACTGTCCTATCAAATAAAGGCAAAAAAAAAAAAAAAAGATTTGTTGAATAAAGTTATTTTAGTTTTTTGCGCACAAAAAGTATTCTCATAACTTCATAAAAGTATGGTTGAACCACTGATGTCACATGGACTATTTTGTCGATGTTCTTGGTACCTTTCTTGACCTTGAACATGTCAGTTGCATTGCTGTCTATGGGAGGGTCATAAAGCTCTTGGATTTCATCAAAAATATCTTAATTTGTGTTCTGAAGATGAACGAAGGTCTTACGGGTTTGGAACGACATGAGGGTGAGTAATTAATGACAGAATTTTAATTTTGGGGTGAACTATCCTTTTAAGTCTTATGAACTTTTCCCCATTTAAATTCTTTTCTCCTTCTCCAAGTCTGGGGCCCTATAGGAACAACATTTTGTCTCAGAATGAAGGAAGAATCACCCACAAAGAGGTGAAGAAATACGGAAGATAAACAGGATGTGGACAGCAAAAACGGGCATGACAAGAAAGTGAATCGAAGAAGGAGGAGGGGGTGTTTACCTGAGAACTGCTGATATTTTAACAGAGCTTCTGAAGAATTACAGCAAAAGCACCAAAGAGAGTATTAAAAAGTTTCCTTTTTGCTTTTAGTTTTGTTTACTTTGTCTGAGATGAAGATGCAATTAAAAATTTTAATTCGGCCTCCTGAGTCAACAAAAAATAGAGTCCAAACATTTTGCTTATGCTATCTTTCTTTTGTATAAATGCAGCTTGAGTTGATATTTTGTTATTTAATGCAATTACATTTGTACAGCTTTAAGTGTGGCTTAAGTGTCCAAAGGCTTTTGGGGCAATTGTAAAACTAGCAGTTTAACTGAGATGCATAAAACACAGTTCCAAAAACTATTCAGGTCTTCTTTTTCCCTTTATTTATGGTAATCTGATGTGATTTCATTATTTGCACTTACGCAATAAATCCCAATGCCATTATTGTGTGTGTTTGCGAAAGGGAGATTATATCTGTTCAGAGTGAAGTCAGGTAGCAGCATTACTCACCAGGTAGCTCACCATCAGCACTTATTAACTTGTATTGATGAACTCATTCAGGAAGTCACTCAGCAGTCCTAACATTTCAAACCCACTGCCTGAAAACCAATTCAGCGGAGTCTGAACCATGAGCATAATTGCATATTATCCTACAAAACTGAAGTGATTGTGGTGTAGTACTTAGTAAATTGAGCTAGCAGTGACTGTAGTCCAAAACAATGTGACTTTCTGGAGGGTCATGAGATTCACCGAAGACAAGCCTAGGTTTGTTTATACTGAAAGGGCCTGAACAATAGGTTTACGTCACGAGGAAGCTGGATTCATTAATTCACAACTGGAACAAATATTCTGAAATCATTTAACAGCATGTTACGGTAAATATTAAGATTTAACAAATATAGGACAAAAATTAAGCATAAGACAATTAAAATGAGATAAAACACTGAATTATAAGTTTAAAAACAGTACAACAGAAATGCAATATAAAGTTGTGATTTTAATAGATTTATCAGGAAAAGGTATGCTGATTCACTGAGATCTGATCATTTGACAGATAAAACCTAGCTCTTTATGATAAGCTAATTCTGCATAATATATTGTTATTACTATAGTATGCACACATAACAACATGCAACAAGGACACCATAAAATAAATTGTTACCATACAGACATCTATCTATCTATCTATCTATCTATTGGTCATCTATCTATCTATCTATTGGTCATCTATCTATCAGCCATCTATCTATCTATTGGTCATCTATCTATCAGCCATCTATCTATCTATCTATCTATCTATCCTGCTGTTCAAAAGTTTGGGATCAGTAAGATTTTTTATGTTTTTATAAAGAAAAGAATCCTGAAAAAGCCTGAGAGTGTCTACGCAAAACCTCACTTACGACTACACCGCCATTCTTGACATTAAGTTAATGTGGAAAGTAACCTAATTTGTCCAAACTCTGAATTCTCCATTGACACTGAAATGCGTAAGAGGTAATTCTTTACGACACCACTCGGGTCAGAGTACGCAAGACAAGGAGACTGGACTGTGCTGGCCTCTGGAGAACTTTACACTCATTTCCCCTCTCATTTGCACATTATGACATTTTAGTCATCTGACATTTTTACTGCTAATAACACAGATGTACAAAGAACTACCTTCACCATTTTCAAAGGTCATTCACAACTGTTAAAAACATAGGATAACTCGTTAGGATTTCTCTTCGGGGCTGTAACTGAAAGAAGGAATCCACAATAATACACTAGAGAGAAAAGAATATCTACATGATGTGCAAGTAAACAACACAGCTGAGGATAAACAACATTAAGAGCCTCAATGCCTAAACATAAGTGACCCCTGCAGGGCATTCTTGGTGTAGCCAGAAGAACATAACTACCCTTTTAACCTTTTAGCATAAGATGACAATTATCACAGCAGCTAAAGGATATTTAGAAAGGACATTATTAAAACAACACATTAAAAACTACAGGCATTCACAGCTGTTTAGATTGACAGTGAATGTAATATTGTTCTTGACGATTTTAAATATCTTATTTAATAAAGCTGAAATAGCAGATTAGCAAGAAGGGAGAAACACAAAATAACACATTTGCTATATTATACCTCATTTGATGTATGCACAAGATGCGGTAAGGATGCATTTGACATTTAGCTGTCAAGCAAACACAATATAACGAACAATAAAAAATGATTAATGTTAATATTATGCAGTCAATCTGTAAAATAAAGAAATAAATTGATAGCATTGAGTGATACAAGTCCCAGTTCACATAATTTCCCACAATAATATAAGACACTATAACTCTCTGCACCCTCCAAATACAAATAATTGGAAGATGAGCTAAGCCAACTAGTCTAGAGACCAGGTTTTTTCTGTATTTTCATAAACTGCATCCCAAATTCCTCTAAACTCAAGAATAAACCTACATGTAGGTCATTTTCATTTGCAGCTCCTCTGAAGCAACCGGTGAAGTCTTGCTACCAAACGCCACCAAGCGTTTTCAAAGTGCAACAGTATGCAGTATGTGGCAAACGTAACAGGAGTCGCTCATGAATATTAATTAGCCTCTGCGTACCGAGACACTCTGTTGGAAGGTTGTGGAGCAACGTCACTGCGAGGCAATTAATATTCATGAGCTAGGTCTCAGCCGTAGAAGCGTCACTTGTCCTGCACAACTCACTACAACACGTTTACCCGAGTAACTTTTATTTATTTATTTTAAATATTATAACTATTAAAAAACGCACTTGTACTGCTCTACCAACCTCTTAAATGCGTGTGAAAAGATGTTGAACCCTTCTTCAAACGCAGAGTCTTCTCATGCTGTGGTGAACTATGTTGAGGAGTATCTGGAGCTGGTCGAGTCTTTGCCGCAGGACCTACAGAGATGCGTGTCTCTCATGAAGGAGATCGACGCCAGATATCAAGGTGAAAGCTTACAGACTCTCGCATGTAGCAGAAGTGTGAGAAGAAAGCACTGCATTGTTTGTGCAAGGGGTGTTAGGTGTCACACTGGCTAGCTGGCTAGCGGCTAACCGTTAGCACGTGAACTTGTTTTCAAGTTTCAAGAGTTCCCCCGCGTCGCGCGATTGAGAGGTCAAAGCTGCAAAGTTGAGCAAATATGGAGAGTACATTTATGTGTCATTTATATCCTAAATTTGTAGAGGTTTCTGTGAAATCACTACACAGCCTGTTTGGATGGAGCTTCTGTAGCGCCACTAAGCTTGACTAATTATGTAGCTTGAAATCACAGTTGTGGGTTAGTGTTGTGTAAATAGTCTTTAAAATGTCATAAAGACACATTTCATATGTTCAGCGACTGTGTCTACTGCATATAAAACATCTAAACGCAAAGACGCTACAGTCAAACCCATTGTTTATAAACCATTCTCTGGTCAATTTTGAGATTTGGGCTATTTTGCTTCCATAACATGTCTAATTTCAGACCAGTGGAAAGCAAGCATGCGAAATACACATGTAACGTTTAGTGTTTATTTGATTACACGCGATCTGTTTGCATCTGTAGATTTCAAGTACATTAAAATAATTCCAAGGCCATATTTTCGAAATTATAATTTTTTTTGCTCTTTTACTGAGTCAGAAATCTACTTAATTAGCACTTAACGTTACATATTTTTATTCATATCTAAATTCTGAAGGTTTTTACATTAAATTCACCTGTTAATTATACATTTTATACTTAAAACATGATCCCGTCCCTGATTTATGTAGTGTTGAAAAGAGATATCCAGAATCACTTCTGTTACAAAAGAATTTGGTTTTGTCCAATTCAGGTTTTGGTTCTGGAAATGTATGCAAATCTTTCCACATGTGTATATTTAATCAACAGTCAACCTCGCACACCAGTAAGTAATTGATGTAGGTAAAAGGTCCAACTTCAAAACCAAAAAAAAAAGAATAAATCCCGCACACTATCCGCACTTACTTGCAAATGTATCAAAATATAAATGTATTAATTCACAACGTTTCGGCTTATACCATCAGGCATATTGAAGAATGGACCAAAACGTGAGTTAATGGAGAGATGATAGTATTGCATTTGCAAATGCAGATAGTGTTTTTTTTATGGCTTCGACTTTTGTATATTTAAACATATTTCAGAAAAGTTATTGTGCTGTAATTAATCAAATATGGTGATATGTGGTATATATGATTACTTAAAATGTCTTATTCACTTGGGGTGTCTTGCCTCGAGACAATAACCCTTTGACCACTGACTTTTTTTTTATTGGAGGTTAAAATGATAAACGTGTATAGTGACACAGTAACAGTAAACATTGTGCCATTATTATTGTGTTACATTAATCCAAAGGCGTTGATCTTGCAGAGATCCTCAGTGAACTGGACGAGGCTTATGAAAAGCACAGACAAGAATCAGATCCTGTGCAGAGGCGGCGTCTGCTTCACTGCATCCAGCGCTCTTTGATCCGCACAGAAGAACTCGGAGATGAAAAGATCCAGATCGCAGGCCAAATGGTGGAAATGGTGGAGAATCGCAGTCGGCAGCTCGAGTGGCAGAGTGAGCTTTTCCAGGCCTGCCAGGACTCGCCGGAGAGCACCGTGTCGGTGGGCAGCACCCCCAGTGCCATGACAACCGTAACTATGACACCGGTTTCTGCTTCGATGCTCTCGGTCAGTAAACCAAGTGTGGATCGGAGACGAGAAGAGACCCCGACTTCAGTAGACAAATCTGGTGGAAAGCGTTCACGAAGGCAGAAAAATGGTTCGGAGAACCGGGAAAACTCCAATTATGGCATGGAGCACAATGAGGAGGTTGGCTCAGGCGTGCCAAAAGAAAAGAAGGCCAAGACCTCATCCACGTCATCGAAGAAGAAGAAGAGGTCGAAAAGCAAGCAGGACAGGGAGCCGTCGCCAACAGACCTGCCTATCGATCCCAATGAACCCACTTATTGCCTGTGCGAGCAAGTGTCTTATGGAGAGATGATAGGTTGTGATAATGATGAATGCACTATTGAGTGGTTTCACTTCTCATGTGTCGGCCTGCACCATAAGCCCAAAGGAAAATGGTACTGTCCGAAGTGCAGAGGAGACAATGAGAAGACAATGGACAAAGCATTAGAGAGGTCTAAGAAAGAGCGAGCGTACAACAGGTAGTGTCAGGTGTAGCTGGTTGCCGTTGTTCTGTTCAGGACTTTAGTATCCAGTTTTGAGAGAGGCCAGGGTCTGTGATGTTGTTACAGACTAGAGTTGGTCATTTGTTAGTAGCTATATCTTTTAGGGATATATAGGGTTCACTTATCAGCTGCTTAGTTATCAATGTTAATCTACAGCATTGGAAGTATTCTGTTCATCCAACTACATCAGTTATCAAACTATCAGTTTTGTATTTATGCCTTGCATAACTGTACATATGTTCATGTAAAATAAACCATGCTTAATGCGGAGTTGTCTCATGCTTACAAAATTTTTTTTTACACAAAATGAAACATATTTCACCCAAAAAAATGGATATTTCATGGACATGCATCTAAGATGTAGACGAGTTTGTTTCTTCAGTGTAACGGGTTCGGGTTTACTCACCAATGGATCCTCTGCAGTGAATGGGTGCCGTCAGAATGAGAGTCCAAACAGCTGATAAAAGCATCACAATAATCCACATGACTCCAGTCCATTAATTAACATTTTGTGAAGTGGAAAAAAAATGGGTGTTTGTAATAAACAAATTCATCATTAAAATATTTTATCTTCAAATTGTTGCTTACATCTAAAATACTAGTCCTCTAGTATCCATAAGTTTACAAGTAAAAATAGTAAAAAAAACAGTTGTAAACAAGTATGTTGGTGGACTTTGATGTGAGAGGAAAAAAGGGAATGGACTTTTTAAAATGATGGATTATAGACTGTTTTGGCGATAAGTGAAAATCCCTTGCTGGATTTGTTTCTTAAAAACAGCTTTTTACTTTACAAGACGTTAATTGATGGACTGGTTTTGTGTGGATTATTGTGATGTTTTTATCAGCTGTTTGGACTCTCATTCTGACGGCACCCATTCACTGCAGAGCATCCACTGGTGAGTAAGTGATATAATGCTAAACTTCTTCAAATCGGTTTTGAAGTAGAAACAAAACTCATCTGCATCTTGGATAGCCTGAGAATGAGTACATTTTCAGGAAAAGTACATTTCAAATGTGGACCAGAAATGTGTTTTTTGGTATGCATTATGCTGCGTTATTTACTTCCCATGTTTCTAGAACTGTCTCTCAGAATAAAATTGTGTGATCTGTTTAACCTAACTTTGTGCATTAAATTCAAAAACATTAAACGGAAAGAGTAAAGGTTCTTGTTTTAGTACATTGAAAAGACTTCTGCTGTTGTTACAGACTAGAAAATGTTGAAATAAGGTGTAAAGTATCAGTAAAGTATTACTCGTATTAAGGTAGTTTCACCTTTTATTTAAGTATTTACAAGTGCTGGAAAATGAGATTGCCAACCAGTGCAAAATCTGTACACAAAAATCAGATGTGTTTTTGTATATACAAGAGATTAATAGAGGCAAGGACACACTCAGGCATTCATGCATGTAACAGGGCACACATCTGCAAAGATCAAGGGCTTGGGAAAAGACCTGAAGATATTATTTCACTTGATTGGACCTGTGATGCAAGCCATGAAAATATATTAAGTAACTGCAGTTAACGTGTATCTCTGTAGGATTTTGGAGGATATTTTTGAACTTTGAGTAATTCCAGCAAATCTATATTTTTTCTTTCGACCAGTAAATATATATTTTATACTCCAAACCATATTGCCATTTTTTCTTTCAACAATTTGATAATTTATATAAACCTTCACGCCGGTCTACCAACATCTTATACGTGTTTGCAGTGCGTACTAGAGATACTCACCACTCATGGTAGCATGCCAACCCTCCTCTGGCAGAGCCATGAAGAGTCGTGACTAAACCAACATAACGAATGCTAATCCAGAAGAATGGAAGCAAAACCAGAAATTAATGGGACACTTTTAACTGCTTTTAGAGTGAGACCATGATATTAAATTTGACAAAGCACCAAAAACATTTTCATCAACACTACTATGACTTACGTCTCTTAGTGAGTCATGAATCCAGACTGCCTTGATTGACTCAACCATAATGTTTTTTTTTTTTTTAGAGATGCTTATGCATTTAGCAAAAAAGAACAATCACTGCATGTTCATGCCATATGAAAAATTAGTCAAGCATTATTCACCAGGGATATTAACCCCTTTCACTGATCTTAAAGGGATAGTTCACCCAAAAATGAAAATTCTGTCATTAATTACTCACCCTCAAAAAAAATTAAGATATTTTTTGATGGAATCTGAGAGCTCTCTGACCCTGCATAGACAGCAACGCAACGGCAATGTTCCCAAGTCCAGAGACGTAGCAAGGAGATCTGTAAAATAATCCATGTGACATCAGGAGTTCAACCGTAATATTACGAAGCTACGAGAATACTTTGTGCGCAAAAAAAAAAAAAACGACTTTATTCAACAATTCGTCTCCTCTGGAGGCATTTTGGAGAGTATCCGCTGGACGTAAACAGCGTATGCTGTTCTGTGTCAGCTGCGTCACGTATACGCTGTTTTCGTTCAGATCAAATCACAACAACATAGGAAACATATCCGGTGTGACGCAGCTGACATAGAACAGCATATGGCGTTTACATCCAGCGGATACTCTCCACAATGGCGCTACAGGGTGACGCGGAGGAGACGAATTGTTGAATAAAGTCGTTATTCTTTTTCTTTTGCGCACAAAAAGTATTCTCGTAGCTTCGTAATATTACGGTTGAACAACTGATGTCACATGGATTATTTTACAGATCTCCTTGCTACGTCTCTGGACTTGGGAACATTTCGGTTGTGCTGCTGTCTATGCAGGGTCAGAGAGCTCTCAGATTCCATCAAAAATATCTTAATTTGTGTTCCGAAGATGAACGAAGGTCTTACGGGTTTGAAATGACATGAGGGTAATTAATGACAGAATTTTCATTTTTGGGTGAACTAACCCTTTAATGAGGGTTGAAAATCAGTCCAGGCAAAAATGTGGGAAAGAAATAAAACAAAAATCACAATCTTGCATGAGTAAAGTGCATAAAAACTTAAAAATGGAGAATTGAAAAACTATCCCCCAACAACAGAGCCAAACATTTCAAAGAGAACATGGTTTGTGAATGTGGTCAACTGTCCCTCCAGCTCTGCTCTACAATCGCTGAAACCCGTTTCTCATATTCCCGTTTATTTTCTTGATACAGTTGTGCTGCCTGGCTGTTTGCGGGGCTGTTGGGATTCGGCTCATCTAGAAGGGACTGCAAAGAAAGAGAAATCAAAATTGAGGCCTCACGAGTATAACACAAAGGGGGGAAAAATTCAAGCATTCAAATAAGACAATTCTCAGATTCAATAATGTCCAAAGGAAACGTGAAGCATTTTGTTTAATATAATAGGACTATAAAATGGTTAACTGGCATACTTGAATTGATGTCAGAATAGAAGAAACATCATAAGTTGGACTCCACCGATTCTGAAGAATATCTAGGCATATACTGCCATCAGCATACACTGTGAAAGACAGCAAGAGAAAGAGTTAGAACAACATATTCACTACATTAAATCAAGAATACATGCATGACTCATGATAAAATGAATAACTTTCAGTATGTAGCAACCAAACAACGCTCACTAATGCTGTACAATTCCTCCCAGACCAACAAATTCCAGAAAATACAGTAACTCTGGTGGCAACTTTGAACATCTTAGTGCATTTAGTTGTCAAAGAAATATATAAGCAAGCATAAAATGTATTAAATATTTTTTGCTAAATCTTAAAACTAATTTTAGCAAAAAAACAAAAACAACAAACCTACTAAGACTAATTGAATGACTAAATTTAACAGCAGCAGATTCTGTGTGGGAATGTACTACATGAGTAGACTGTAGAGAGCATATTAGAGAATCGGGGTCCGTTTCTCTTTGACAAAGCCTCTAATCAGAGACAAACAGGAAGGATCACTCACCATTTGGATGAAACATCTTTGAGACAAATCGCACAGTTGGGGGCTTGTTTGGATATTCCTCTGTGAACTCAACTGTGAGTTTGAAGGTACCTTGTGTGCAGAATAGAAACAACATTGTATCTTTAATTTGACAAAGAAACACATTTTACTCATTTTCTTTACACATGCATTTGATCATGCTGGAAAGGTCAGCAGACAGACACCTACCATCTTCAAAAGGCGTTCCCTCTGGACTGCATGTAAAAACAAGAAACGCAATATTAAGGTCAAAGGTAGGAGGACACTGACATGGAACATTGACCATGATATCAAATAACAGCATGCTACACTAGAGCACTGAACACATGGTGGGGCAGGTTTACTCCAGTCAAGCCCTCAAAAGAGTAATATGCAGACAATGAAATATGTATACATGTGTATTTACAAACACTACCCTTCAAAACTTTGCAGTCGGTACTAATATATATATATATATAAAAAATAACGGTAACACTTTACAATAAGGTTCATTAGTTAACATGAAATCAGAATGAAAAAAACTTCTACAGCATTTATTAATTTTAATTAAAGTTAATTTCAACATTTACTAATGCATTATTAAAAGTTGTGACATTAGTTAATTCACTTTGAATTAACATGAACTAACAACAAACGACGGTTTCATTAACATTAACAAAGATGAATAAATACTGTAATAAATGCATTGTTCATGGTTTGTTTATGTTAGTTAATACATTAACTAATGGAACCTTATTGTAAAGTGTTACCAAAATAATACATTTATACTATACATTTATTAAATGTATAATTTATATCACAAATAATATATTTTTTTAAATGTAATTTATTTCTATAATGTAAAGCTGAATTTTCAGCATCATTGGCAGTCTTCAGTGTCACACGATCCTTCAGAAATCACTCTAATATGCTCAGGAAACATTTCTGATTATCATCAATATTGAAAACAGTTTTATATTTTTGTGGAAACTGTGATAACTCGTTTTTCAGGATTCTCTGATGAATAGAACGTTCCAAAGAATAGCATTTATTTGCAATAAAAATCTTTTGTAACATTATAAACATGATCAATTTAATGTCTTTGCCAACTAACTAAAAGCATACATTTTTCCCTAAAATGTCACTGACCCCAAACTTTTGAACAGAAAAGCTGCACGCTATTTAATCATATCATTCACTTCCACCAGATTTTCAGGTCTGGTAATGTCGCTTTAATAATCCCCTCATGTTTGGAGGTTTTCCACGACCGTGGGAACTCTGTTACATGAGCTGGTTGGCGCAGACTCGCCTCGATCAGCCCGATTGCTCTCTTCTTACCCGAATATAACTGCATTCCACACCATGATGTTGTTCTCCGACGGAGCTCCACTGACGCCGGCTGGAGGATCCTCCTGGAGCCTGCGGGAGCAGCACACAACACTCGATCACACAGAGCACATGCACTGATTAGAGGAAACACCTGGACTATCACACGGCACAGTGTGGCTTCTGCCTACCTTATAACAGTTACTAGAAATACAAAGACATGGGCTAAATAGTAATAATAATCATCACATTCAGACAAGTCGAGCTGGAATAACTTCTCTAGCCGGCTCACACTAGCTAGCAAGCGCATAAGCTAAAACACATGTCAGTTAGTTTCTAAGAATCGCCACAATGTAAACAGGCAATGTGACACTACCGACAGACTCAAAGAGATAAGCACAACATTAAAATGTCGTATTTTAATCGTTTAAATTACGTTTAATAATCGGCTACCGAACTGGGTGATATGAAGCTAACTAGCTAGCAAGCTATTCCACCAAAACAAACACATCTATCATTTAACAGCTACTCACCGCTTAAAATCTCGCATGAGTCGCCTTCTAGCTGGAGTAGACATCTTTAACTACACTAAAAATCGTCAGCGATTAATTTGAGAGCCTAATAACAAATGTTAAGGTAACTGTATATGTCACAACACTGAGCGATGATTAATATTCCTTTCTGAGCAACAAGACGTCTTTTCGCGAGACTGGATTATACCATCTGTCCCACACAGGGGGTTATTTGCGACTGGAGATACAAAGACATCTTACAAGATGTATATAAATCAATTTTGTGTTTTATTTTTAAAGACTTAGTGATTAATGTTTCCGCAGTTCGTTTGAAATCTTTATGGTTTAAGAAAAATGATTTGATAATTTGCCTGAAATGTTCGTCTTTGGAGACGTTAATGGAAGATATCCCCCTATTTTTCTGACCGTTGGTACGGTCTCAGTCGGTTCTGCGGGAGGTCATCGTCCTCCTAGCGGTTAAGCGCGGGAAATGCAATGAGCGACGACCTTATTGTACTCCGACGTAAAAGCGATTTCATAACAGTTATGTGTTCAGTTTTTAGTCACTTCCGCAATCATATATTCGATAATAATCAGGAGGGAAGGCAGATATTGGCACGGTAAAGAGAGCACGGCAGTGTAGAAGTGTTTGGACTACAAAATACTATCAAATAGTTCAGTAAAACCAATAAAAACTCGTTCCTCATTACACTAATTTCTACTCCCTACAAGACAACATATAAGGTAGAGGTTGTGAGTTAGAAAACCATACAAATGATTCAGTCAATTCATCATCCATTTTATTCACACACACACACAGCTCTAACTACTATGTAAGAAAGAGATGTCAATAAACAATTATATTGTATAGGCACAATTAATACAATACATGTACTTACAAATAATGCATCAAAAATGAACAGCCTCCGGATTCTCCAACTCAATTAAATGACCCAAATTAGAAAAGATTGCACTTTTTTTAACAACACAAATACAAACCCAATTCCAAAAAAGTTGGGACACTGTACAAATTGTGAGTAAAAAAGGAATGGAATAATTTACAAATCTCATAAACTTATATTTTATTCACAATAGAATATAGATAACATATCAAATGTTGAAAGTGAGACATTTTGAAATGTCATGCCAAATATTGGCTCATTTTGGATTTCATGAGAGCTACACATTCCAAAAAAGGTGGGACAGATAAAATATTGAAATTTGAAACTTCCACATCATTGCATTGTTTTTATTCACAATTTGTACAGTGTCCCAACTTTTTTGGAATCGGGTTTGTACAAATACAGTGTCCATTTAAAAGGACATGGACTTAAAGCACATTCTATATGGATATATAAAAAGCATACGAGTCTGGACGGGACGTCCTAACACCCATGGTAGAGGTGCATGGTGTTGAAGGTGATGTGGTCATACTGCTCCTCTACACTGACTGACTTGCGGTGCTCTATCTGACTGCTGGCGTCCTCCATGTTCTCAGCCGTATCTCCGAAGCCATTATGATGCCCAAAATGAAGGCCGTTTTCAAAGCAACCAGGATGTGAGGAAACACCCACATTCCCAATATGATCATCACTCTCAACCTCGGTTGCATTTCCATTTACGTTCTCATGCATCAGGTCACCTCCACTGAGGTGCTGCACAGGATAGCAGTGTCCATTTAATGGGAGTCCTGCTGTCAAAGAGAACACATGAATTATAATTCATTAAAGAAAGATTAAGATTTGCTGCTTCATTCTTCACTGAATGTTTTTTGTTTTGCACAATAATTTCCAACAGGTCTACATTGTTCATATCAGTTTTTGTGCATACAAATCACCCATCCAGTTCGGTTTACGATTATATCTGAACATTTGAACTTTAATCTCAAGTCCTGCTTCAAGCCATGATATTACTCAACTCTACAAAAACATTGCACTGGCACACTGCCCTGCATTAGCTTCGACATTAAACATTTTGCCTTATAAATTAATATCACTTTGATTTAAATAACATGGCTTAATTCATTTATGTTATATGTGGAGGCAGCAAAATAGTCCAGAGGTTACTGAAGGTGCAAACCAATAGATGATACATGTGTGCCGCATTAGAATTTATAAACAGTATCAAATTAACAATTGCAAGTGGTTTTTGATTTGCTAACATGTTCTGACAAACTATTCATATGTACAAATTCAAGAGTCAGTGTTGATTGTTAAATGAGAACATTTAATGAGTATAGAAATTACATTTATATCCATCTTAGGCATCCTGTAACTTTACATGACCAATATGTCTATGTGTCACACATAGCCGGTGTTTAAATGAGCACTTATAGTGAGATGTCCCTTGTAATTCTGAATCGGCAATCATGTGTTATGCTATATGAGTGAAATTAAACTTTTTATATGAATTTATAGAAAGTACAATGCATTTAACGAATCACCTTTATCTCAATTCATACTTCTCATACTTAATCAGTTCAGCAAATATTTTCTACACTACATATGAAATCCTATATTAGCTGGAAAAATAAATAAAACTTTTACCCTCATACAATAACCTCCGGACTGATAAACACTTGAGACTGCAGATACAATAAATCTAATAACAGACCCTCTTCAACAGACTTTGTAATAACAGCAACAGAGAGAAAAACAACTACAACCTAATATAGTTTAAAAAGGTTAAAGAAGTGACTGAATAGCACCTAGACTTCCTTACAAGAACACACGTATGAAAGCTGCACAGCGAAGGGCTGTAGATGTACTTTATACATTCATGATAAGATATGCTTTGGCAGAACTAGAGAGTTAAATGTTGAAGAAATAAAAAAAGGAAAATAAAATGCACAATATTTTATATTTTCAACATGGAATTATATATGTATATATATATATATATATGTATATATATATATATACACATACAGTGGGTACGGAAAGTATTCAGACCCCCTTACATTTTTCACTCTGTGTTATATTGCAGCCATTTAGCCATTTACAAATTTGGTAGAATATAAAATGGGTGAAATATTTCAGTCCAGCATCTCAGTCAAATACAATTTACGTAATGAGTAAAACCTATAACTCTTGGCAACCCTGATCCATGTCACCATTCACTTCCATTGTGTGAGAAAATGTGCCAAGAAAGTGACATATGACAGAGACTGTCAATCTAACTAACATGTTTTGTGCTCCACATAAGAAAGTATATATATATATATATATATATATATATATATATATAAATAATACATAAAAAAGCATTAACCTGGATTTTTTTTTTGCTACTTAACAATAGAATATGGGCTACTCATATCAAAAGTATTAACCAACAGCCTAAACCAAAATCCAACTATGTTACAAAACTCAAGGTCAGGCATTACATAAAAAAGCATTAACCTGGATTTTTTTTTTGCTACTTAATAGAATATGGGCTACTCATATCAAAAGTATTAACCAACAGCCTAAACCAAAATCCAACTATGTTACAAAACTCAAGGTCAGGCATTTGGTGGGGCAAATACAATTCACAGGAAAAGCTGTGAAAGTGTCATACTAAGACATACTTTCCAAGTATAGATTTCAGGGCATAAAAACAGCCTAATAACATCATGCAAGTACTTTAGAGAGAAGGGGAAAAAAATCATTTAATTGCTCTTGGAATGCAATAGAATCAAAATTAAAAATTAAAACGCCATTCAGGGAAGTTATTGTGCAAAACAAAACTCAACATTTGCTTCTACCACTCAAAACACCTTCTCCATTTTAGTTTAAAACAATGTGCATACCACCAAACGTTAAAAGGACGGGGTGGTGTGAGCAACTTATGATCAGATGTTTTATACATATGATGTGTGTCAAATTAAATCAGTTTCCCTCCCAGACACACATCACCAAAATAGCTTAAATGAAGCCAAGGCAAATGCTCCTACAAATAGGCATAGGAGTTAGTGCAACGGCATGGTATCTGCATGGAGGTCACGGTGAAGATCTCTGACTCTTTGTGGACTGGAGAGGACGAGCTCTCCATTCGAACCCCCCGGTCCTGCTCTGGACTGATGTAGCCATTGGACCCCAAAAGCAAGGATCCATTTAGGAGTCTGTTCCCACCTGGGGTACTCAGCGCTTGGCCAAACTCCATGTGCATGTTCTCCATCTGGTCCTCTCCACTGGATCCGTTTACTCCATTCATCGGCTGATAACCGAGATCTGCAATGACACCTTGACATTAGCAAGTGGTGACCCAACTTCATCATACAAATGTCTTTAAAACCAAACTTTAAACATTCAGTCAAGACGTACCATCTGTTCTGGCCTTTTTAATTAGATTAGACTCCATGCAATCAAGAGACCTTTTTCGGCTGGGAACCCTATTAAGGATGCCACGCTCTTGGATTAGCTTGCGGTCCCCAAAGCACACAGAGCCATTGGCTGAGAACCCGTTAAGCTGATTGAGCTGCTGGTTCTGGGCATTGGAAAGCAGTTGGGCGCACTCTTGAAAGCCCTGGGTATGGGCTAGGTCAGCGGCGGTCAGTCCACTAGCGTTCCTCATGCTGCGCAATGATAAAATTAGTGCATTAACACTGCTGGTCTAAGGCAAGTGTTTGTAAACCACTCATACACACACACACACACGCACGCACACACACACACACACACTTCCCTTTCTATATTTAAAACCTTAATTTATTTGGACATTTTTGAAAAAAAAAATAATACTGGATAAATCATTGAACATAAGGCATTTTTTTTTTTTAAATAATACTGGATAAATCATTGAACATCTATTTAAATAAACATTTATAATGTTGTGATGTCTCGACTGCAATAGAAAATGAAGAATCATTAAAGCACACACACAAAGAACATGATATTAAGAATACAAAACATTTTGATTACACCAGTCAATGGTAAATATTTGCCTGTGGCAATACTGACTGGCAAATGAAAAGTGGTTTGGCACTGCCAACTGATTTTTCCAGGAATTCTCTTCAATTCAACAAATGAACTGGACAGATGATTCTTTTAATAAAAACATTTCATATTTTTAAAGTGAAATAATGCTATTAGTTAAAATCTGAATGTGCCAAAAGTAAAACAAAAAGTAAATGAACGCCACACCAGAATAAACATGGTAAAAGCAGTGGCAATAAGAAGCCAATAACTGTATATAGAAGAATGCAGACGT